TCAAATAATTAAATTTTAATAGAGATAAAAGTAGTATGCAATTTTTTGGGTTCATTTTGTAGCTCGTATTAAATAATGCACCGTGAAATAATTATTTCGAATAAGTTATGCCCACAATATTAAGGTTTAAAGATATTACCTTAATTTGATATTAATTAAATTAATATTGATTTAAAATACTTCCAATCTTGTCACCTGTACTAGTTGAACTAGAGAAATATTTTTTTAGTTGGTTATGATTTGACTTTGATGGAAAGATAAAGTTGGTTTTTTTAGAAGGTTTGAATGATGTAATATATTATATTGGACTAAGGGTCAATTGTTTTTATTAGAATTTATTAAGTTGCATTTTAATTTCACATGTTTGACAGGCATGTGTGAGTAATTTTAAACCAATTATATGGAAAATAAGTGGAATAGAAGAATTATATATGGTTACACGGGAATGATTGATGTGTTTCTTAAACAAGTGCTCTAAGTTGGGAATAAAAAATAAATGATATCATTTTTGGGGTGGAACACACATATAGATACGGCAACAGAAGATTTTGGGAACATGAATTTTTTGTTTTTCTTCCAACAATTCTTTTCATCAATCAAGTTAGGATTACGAGGTGCAAGTGATTTGTCCCGTTTAATCTTATTTTTTCATGTTGATAAATATTATGCTAATGAAAGTCATGATATGATATGATATGATATGATATGACCATCGGTATCAAAGATATGATATATTATGAGCTCTTAACGATTTTTAAAGATATGATATGACATGATGGTATGATAATTTTTTACGCATGATTTAATATTTTTATTCCGGATTGCATCATTTTTCGGTGTCCTATTGAGCATTCTCATATACTCACTTTTTTTTCCTACTTTTCACAAGTTAGAACGGGTCCTTGGTTGGCTGGCGGGCGATGTGGTGCAATCATGTTGCCGAATTTATGGGACTCAATAAAATAATCCGGTGTAACAAGACATTTTTAATTCCAGCAATTTCTTAGTTTATTTCATAAGGATTTTTTTATTTAGAAATTTAAGAATATTTTATTATTTATCTAATAAATGCGATATTCATGGCTTTTTGAGCCTGTTTGTTTTGGATTAAAATCTAATTTTAATTTAAATCAACGTCAAACAATCAATATTAATAACATCTTTCGCTGGTCCAACAATTTTTCAACAACACATTTCAAAAATTTCTATCATAATCTACTAAAAATCTAACTTGAATCACACCAAACACCCTCTTAATATTTGTTTGAAATATATTTTATTTGGTTATGAATTTTCGTCTGTTGATTATATTGTGCTCGTTAATTTCATATACTTACACTATTGAAATAAATAAATTTGGTAGCGATTTAAATTATAAAATTTGGGTCGTTACAAAAATGATGAAAATCAACAGGGTGCAGTGGAATGGGGTCGGAGAGGCCATTATCATCCCTGTCTTGTCGGGTATTATTGGAAAACAGGACAGAGACGGTCCGGGTTGTGGTAGGATTAAAAAACCCCTGCTTATCGCGCCCTTTATATTAATTAACTATTTTTAAATATAATTTTTATTATCTGCATACAATTTACATAAAAAAACACAAAAATATAATAAAATAAATAATTATGCTTTTGTTAGGAGAGTTCGAGATAGAGATCATGTTTCCAGTCCCACCCTCATTTACTATACAAGGTAGAAATTCGACATGGACTTATTAATGTAATACCATGTAGACTAATGGTCACAATTACTCATCACATTACTAATAATTATGAGTTCCAGCACTTGTAACGAATGACGAGAGATCCAAGCACTGGAGATTCTAAGAGAGTGCTTTAGAT